CTGATCAGCTCTCTAGAAAATCTACACATGAGAGAAGTGGTTACTTTAGAAAACTAAAAAGAGTTTATTAGATACTTAACAAGGTCTTCAGAAAATGGAAGTCCAATCGCTCTAATAGTTTTAGGATATGCTTACAGGGAGGGAAAATTTAGACTTGAACAAGATTTGGATAAGGGAAAGAAATATTTAGAATGTGCTAGTGAAAGAGGAAATGAAAAAGCAACAGAAATAATTAATTCTTTTACTTCAAAAAGAAATGCTTATCTTTACAATATTGTAGATAAATTAACAGATAGTGAAACATAGCTCGAATTATAGCATTATATTTGAATAAACATTAATATTTATAATTATTTAATTTATGTTATAAAAGTTATGAAAATACTATTTATTCAAGTTTTCATAAAAATGATTTTTTCAAATATTAACTTGCTATATCATCCTGAACGGCATTAATATCAAAAAGAATTTTTTCGAGAGTTGGTATTTTAAAACAGTGTCTAATGACAGTATTGAATCATTCATCATAATAGTAGGGATTTATCATGCTACAGAGGAAAGTGAATCTCATGTTTTTGTAATGACTTTTTTTTCTGGATTTGATTGTCTTTATTATCAATACTAAATCAACGATTTTGAAGCGAGTTCTAGTGCCGATAGGGATTTTTATGTAAGGGTTGGTAATAATAAATTTCAACAAAGTGGCATAACACTTGATCTTCCTTCATCACAGTTAATAAATACTACCAATGAGGAGTATGAAGAATACTCGAACATGTTAGTCAAGGACTGGATTAGTATTACTGATCAGAAATTATATTCTGCATAAACTTTAGTACTACTAATAGCTATATGACTACTAATACTACTATAGCAGACTTACTCGTATCTATTCAATCTCTATAATCTGTATATATATTTCTCTGCCAGATTAAGTATTAACTAGATTGATTATTAAAATCTATACTACTTTACTTAACTCAGAATTTCTACTATATAGATTTTCTATCTATAGAATTTCTATTTGTTTTTATAGAGAAAATATATATAGAGATATAAAAATTTTAGTATAATTAAGAGTAGGATATACTAAACAACTCTTTCTGATGATCCTTTTTTCCAAAAATTTGAAAAAGTAAAAAACAAATATTTATTGAGAAAGATAAAGAAGTTTCTTTTACAACACAATGGTTCTTACAGAAGTCAACTAGGCTTGCTATCAGAAACTCCTTTGTATATTTAATATATAAGCTAAAAGTGATATTATATAAGATAACTAGTAGGTAAAGAGAGTTCTTGTATAAAAAATTTTAGTAAAGAGACATAAAGAGCTTTTTGTTAACAAAGTTAGTAAAAGAAGTCTTAAGAAGGAGATAATAAATTATTTTGCTTATACACTTCTTTGAACCTTAAAAAATAAGAAATTTTTACAAGCTTTTCTCTCTGGTCTTCTATTTTTCTTGACAAAAGTAGAGAATTCAGATTCTCTTTACAAAAGATCAGTATTGTTTACTTCTTCTATTTTTAAAAATACTTTGTAGATGTGTAATCTTGTGTAGTAAACAAAGTCATATACTTTGTTTATTGTTTAGTTTGTTATATGATCTCAGTACTACAGATCCTAGATTTTAAGAATAAATTGTATGTTAGAAAGAAAATTATTTAAAATAGGTTATAAGTTATATAACTTTAAATTTTTAAGCCTAACTTAGATTAAAAATATCTAGTTACTTTTTTTTAGTTTCTTTATATATTTTGTTTTTTTTATTACATTACTACTTAACAAAGTTTTTATAACTTAGAGCAAGTTTTCTTTGTTAGTAAGCTTAGTACTTTTAGAATAGTAATAATTTTTATTTTTTTCTATTTTGAGACTAGATATTAACTACTTATAGCTTAGTATTAACTAGGTTAGAAGAGATCTAAGACTTAATAGAGTCTGAAATCATCTTTATTAATCTAAGAAAAATATCTTCTTCAAGAAAAGTTATTACAAGGAGAAAAATGACTTTTATAACAGATTATATCTAGATACTATTTGCAGCTAAGTGAGTTTAAAATTGCAGTAAGGATAGATATAATTATAAATTAGTTTTAGAACTTATATATTTTGTATCTTATATGTATATTTGATATTTCCTCTAATAAATAACAAGCAAGATTGCTCAAGTTAGAAAAAAAAAGAGTAGAGTATACTATTTTAAAATTATATATAGTACTTGAGCATCTTTAATAGCTGAGTAAGGAAGAATGCAAATCACTAACTCTTTCCATAGATTACTTGTACCAAAATTTCCTAAAAACATTTGTTTATAACTAAATATTTTACTAAATAAACTACTCTTAAGCCACTAAGCAAAATTGTTTTATACAAAATTTTACTTTAGAAGGATCTAGATTTATATCTCTCAGATCTAAACTTACAAAGATATTTACTTAAATAATTAATATAACACTTTTATTATTATCTTCTAATTTTACTAAGACAACAACTCTTGGTCACTAAAAAAGTATTATCCAGCTTACTCTTAGCTTTACACATATACAAATTTTATAAAAAACAGACCAAAACTCATCAAATTACTAAAGAAAAACTTATTTAAAGTTTTTTTCTAAAAATTTAGAAAAATAAAAAATTCTTTTTTCTTTTCTCCTTTAAACCTAAAACCAAATCATATGATAAACTAACCAAAATTTATTGGTTTACCCAAAAATAGTACTAATTATTAAAATTTCTTTTTTAAATTCTTATTAATTAAACACAAATTAATTACTTATATATTTGTATTAATTTCTAATTAAT